AAAATGCAGCAGACATGGGATGAACCAATTCCAACCTGCAACTTTGAGAACCTTGGGCACTTAACTTCTCCACTCTCTCAAACCCCAAAGCCACCATGTAATTCCACCAAGCTAGCCTGCTGGGCGATGAGAGACAGGTGACCCTGGCATCCCCCGTCACCTCAAATGCCCACCCTCCTAGACCAGCTAGCCCCCAGCTAGACCACCAGAGAGATAAACAGGCATACGAGTAAGCTCTGTCAAGGTCAACCAAGTCAGTCCCGATCACTTGACTTTTTCAGTTTGGGAAAAATAGTAAGTGCATAATGTTTTGGACCTGTGAGTTTGGGGGCTGTTTGTTACGCAGCAATAGCTAATCGATACACCCTTGTTGCAGAACTTCTCTTTTGTCACATTTTTCCTCTGCCCAATTATCACCTTGTCTGCCCTGCCCCTGCTTGCTACATCAGGCCACCTGACGGGCTCTGGCCCACAGATATAATATCAGGCCTACTATCCTAAGTTTATGAGGATCTCTTAGCAGTTTAGATCTTGAAGGCATGGGGTATTAAAGCAGTGCCTCAGTGTGATATTCTGATTTATAGTAGGAAATACGTAATATACTCGTGTTTGGTCCTTGCTCGCCAGCCGCTGACACAGGGGGCCTAACACCCTGGTGAGTCCGAAGAGGTAAGAGCACTGGGAGCATCTTTTGTCCTGATGAGGGACTCTGGGTGTGCTCCTGGGTGGGGGCTGGTCCCCGGAAAGGCCAAGTGGTGATTAGAAACTTGGAGTTTTAAATCCCTGCCCCTCCTCCCCCATTTCTCTCTAGTGGGGGTGGGGTAGAAATGGAGTACATAACTGATCATGCCTTTGTGAGGAAGCCTCATAGAACCCCAAAGGCTGTGGGCACTTGCAAAGTCCCCACCCCAGGGACCCACCCACCTTGGGGTATGACGGGTCAGATTCCCCACTCAAGGTCCCTTTACCCCTTCCCCAACTCTGTCCCAAACCCAGCACCATCCTCAGGACGGTGGGATAACAGCTCCCCAGGGGCAGCCTTGGGCATCTGGTGGTGTCTGGAGATGCACCGGCAGAGACAGTAGCAAAGGTGGCACCATGTTCGCATCCCGGAGACCCACAGGCATGACCTCTGCACCCACTCTCAGGAGGCTGGGCAGAGGATGCAGGCACAGGGGTGTTACAGAGTTTCTCTCATCCAACCCTCGTGTTACAGAAGAAGAAACTCAGTGAAGTCAAGAAACGGAAATGGTGGAAGTGGGACTCGGACCCAGGGCTTTATGACTCCAGAGTCTGGGATCGTGGCCTCTGTCCTCCATCGGCCTGGGAGAAAGTAGGAAATGTGTGGGTACCTTCTCTTCCCTAAGTTAGGCTAACCCAGGTTTTGCCACAGTGACAAGCAAACTGGAAAATCTCAAGGTTCAATGTGACCCAGTCCGTCAGGCAGCCCCCTCCCCAATCTGGTAGCTGCGCCACGAAGCCACGTGGCCTCCACGATCACTGTGGCGAGCAGAGTGAGATGGCTGGACCACACAGGGGCGCTGGACGGCCAGGCCGGGAGGGGCTGGCATCACTCCCAACCAAACATCCCTGGCCAGACTCGGCAGCGTGGGGCACAGCCCCACTTGGCGACAAGCAATGCCGGGGAGTGGAGTCTGCCTGGGTCCCCGCGCACAGAGAGTGCTGCGCAGAGCACTCCCTGCCTCATTGCCTCCTTCTCCATGGCCTCTCACTCCACAAACACCCCCCTCGCCCACTGACAGTCCCGCAGACCCCTCCCTTCTGTGCTCCTTCCCACCAAGCCTTGTTCTCGGCAAATTACCGATCCACCTCCCACGGGGATTAATAAACAACACCCTCAAGACTTTCTTCTCCTAAGAATATTTGCTTTTTCTTCAAGGGCTATTCAACACTGACAGGACTTAAATATCCAAAGGAATGAATACATAATGGTTGAAGCTGAGGCCCAACAACGACAGTGTTAGATATTAGAGAGGCACCCTATGCACCCTGGCTTCCCTCAAACGGGCTTCGGACTGAAGGGGTCCGAGCCACTCCCTGCATTCCCCTCCCTCCCCTCCCTCTGCTCGTGGCTGGCAGGATGCCGGATTGCTGGGATTGGCTGGAGCCCATTTGCCGTCAGGGAGGGAAGTCGAGGCTGATAAAAGGGGGCTTACTGTCCAGGTGAATTACCTGCGCCAGAGCTACCTATGCAGGTCTTCCCTTACAGCGTGTCCTTCCCATCCCCACGAGCAGGTTCTGTGCTCCCTTAGAAGACAGCGTGCGTGCAGAATTCATTGTGACGTTACACAATGCAGGGCCCTGAGGGTGGTGGCGGCTGACCCGCCCCCTCTGGCAGCTCCCCTTCCCTGCCACTGGGGAGGCTGACATGCCGTGATTAGGAGCTTCCTGACCCAGTCTCCATCCAAGGCACATGCACGGACCCCTCTACAAAGGACAGGTGTCCACCCAGAGGCGGCCCCCGGGCCCAGCATTGCTGAGGCTCAGGGCAATGCCAGGCCCTTTACCCTGGTGCCAGAGGCCTGCTCACGTTCAAGGGACTCGTCCCTGCTGCTCCCTCACCGCCCTCTTCCCAGACCTGTTCCAACCTTGTCCTCTTCCATCAACTCCTGCATCTTTAGAAACAAACCACGTCAATCTTTTCTTCATTTCTGTTCCCTTTATTCCTGAAACTCCACATCCTATCGGATGCCCATATGGATACACACACGTGTACACACAAACACATGTGTGTATGCAGGTGTGCTGAGGCACACACCGGCATATACACACACTCCCAAATATACTGGCCATAGGCACACAGGTACACACAGATGCAGAACACAGAGATTCAGGTGTGTAAGGGTGCAAAGATGCCCAGACATACACACTTGTAAATGTAAAGAGACACACAGGCCTATCCATAGATAACCAGCGGTGTATAAAACAACACACAAATACCCACCCACACACAGATTGCGCACATTTACAAATAAATTCCCATATACACAGATATGCACAGGTATACAAAGATGATGTGTGTACACGCCAGGATGCATATACACGCACATGCACATGCACATGCACACCCACAGAAACACTTGTACATTTTCCCTGATCCCCATGTAGAACTATAACCCAGGGCTGTCTGCCCTCTGAAAACCCAGTGCCAGGTCTGGCTTCCTGCTTCACCAATTCCAGGTACTTCCTGGACCCCAGCGCCCCTCCTAGAACAAAGAACAGCAACAGTCTTCTCATTGAATGTCCCCAGGGTCTGAGAACAGGGGAGGGGGCACAGAAGCACATGTGTGGGGCTATAGAACTGGAGTGGGGCCCACACTGCTACCAGATGCCCTCACCTTGGCCCCAAGGTCCTCCTGGTGGGAGGTGACTACTTTCTGAGAAAATGGTCCTTCCAGGGAGGTAGACTTGGGATTAGGGAGAGGGGAGAGTATTGGGGGGGAGCGGAGCCACTCTCCTGGGAATTGGGAACATATAAGGGAAGAAGATGGAGCCATTGAACTCACCCGCAGTGGCTGACAGATGGGAAATAAGGGCCTGTATCAGGCCAGAAAGACACAAGGCTACACAAGGCTTTCCTCTTCTCCCTCCCGTGTGGCCTAACACAGGTGGGATCTCACTACTGTTGGAAGAAAGGAAGGGAGGAAGGAAGGAAGGAAGGGAAAGGAAGAGAGAGAGAGAGAAAGAAAGAAAGAAAGAAAGAAAGAAAGAAAGAAAGAAAGAAAGAAAGAAAGAAAGAAAGAAAGAAAGAAAGAAAGAAAGAAAGACAGGCCCTGAAGTGTGGCTCTATTGGTTGGCATGTTGTCTCATAGACCAAAAGGTGGTCGGTCCGATTTCTCATCAGTGCACATGCTATAGGTCTGGTCCCCCCACCGGAGCACTTATGAGTGGCAATCACATCATGAATCTCTCTCTGCGCTCGCTCTCTCTCTCTCTCTCTCTCTCTCTCTCTCCCCCTACCTCCTTTCCCTTCTTTATAATCAATAAACATGTACTTGGTTGAGGATAAGAAGGGAAGGAAGGAAAGAAGGAAAATCACATTTCCCAAACAGAGTCACCTGTACTGAGCCCATCCAAAGCAAGACTTGTGGCCTAACCTAACTGCAGTCTCATTCTTTCCCAGCAATGTTACCTTTAACCAGCCAATCTGCAGTTACCTGGTCAGAACTAGTGAGATAATCCTCTTGAGGGATCCCTTCCAAAGGAAGGTGACCTCACCTGAGCAATCCAGCCTTTGCTAGAACCTTCCATCTGCTCCCTTTGGCCTATAAAAGCCTTCCATGTAGCACAGCTGTCCGAGCTCCTTTCTATGTGCTGGATGGGACGCTACATGACTCATGAATTGTTGAATGACGCCAGCTTCATCCCAAAACAAACTCAACTGAATTTTGTTTTTTCCGCAGTCCTCCGATTCTCCAGTCAGTGACATGACACTCATTTTGGAAAGCTGCCCCAACCCACGCCGCCCTGAGGCCCATAGGGAAGCAAACCAAACAGGAAGGCAAGATTCCCACCTCCCACCCTACGAGAACTCCCCCCGCCACCCCCGCACCCCGCAACCCGGCCCCCGCGCCCCTGGCGTGAGGAGGACGCTGGGCGGAAGCCCCAGGGCCAGGCTCAGAGGGGTCCTGGCAGGGCCACCTAGTCCGGGCTCCGCCCCCAGGTGGCGCTGCAGCGGAAACCTTGGCACCGCAACCCCTGCACCCACCCAGACACTCACCCCCGCGGGGCACTCTGCCATCTTTTCCTTCCGCAAACCCCCCACCCTGCAGGAGCCAGGGCTTCCAGTCTTTTCCAAGCCCGAGGAGCCCTCCAGACGAGCAATGAAGACACAAGAGTCAGGAAGTGCCGTGGAAAATTGGCTTTATGAGCAGGAGGGGCTGAAGGGGTTGGAGGTCCATCCCGCGCCCAGGGTGGGTCCCGACGGCCAGGAGGGGTGCGGGCCTGAGGCTCCGAGGCAGGATCTCCAGGCCACTGGCTTAGACGGAGCACATGAAGGGCAGACGCCTCCAGCAATTCACACGTCGCCATTTGCCCCCTGGCGGTACAGAGCACAGTGCTGTCAGTGTCCTGTCAGAGCATGGCTCCTGTCCTTGTCCCTCCTCCTATGTCTTCCCTGCATCTCATCACCCCCCAGGACGCGTTGGCCCCACGACCCCACGAGCTCCGGGCATTGGGCCTCCGGCCCAGAAGGCAGTGGGTAAGTGCGTGGATGGACCCCTGGTGAATCCTCACAAGGACTCCAAGACGGAGGGGCTGTCACCATCCCCTTTCCCAGAGGAGGGGCCTGAGGCTCAGCGGCAGGGCCCCAGCAGGGACGGGAAGCAATCGGGGCCGCCCCACTCCCCCAAGTGGGGCCTGAGCACTACACTCGGCTCCCCCTCGTCCCGCATCCCCGCAGTCCACGCCGGCGCTTTGACCGTCCGCCATTCCCGGTTCCCACATCTCTCCTTGGTCCCTCATCCACACCTTTCGTTCGCACCTGTTACTCTCATCTGCCACATCGGTGGCTCCCTCATAGCAGAAAACGGAAAGGACCCCAGGCTCTGAGCAGAGCTCTGTCTGTGAGCACGGAGAGCCCCACCCAGCCCCCACACCGGGCACCCCCCCCACCCTACGTCTCAGCCCCCCTCACACACACGACATTGGCTGTCCAGTTGGGGGCAGGCGGTGGGTTTGGGAAGGTGTTGCAGGCAGCTCACAGGGACACTATGTAAGGGCCCACTTGCCATCCCTACCCGATGCCCTGGTGCCCAGGCCCCCTCACCTCTGGTGCATAGAGCTACACAGCGGCCAGCCCCATGTTTAGGATGCCCTGCGGCCCAGTTTGAATAATTCCAGCAACTCCCATCAGTCCAGAAAAACCTCCGGGACCAGCCCTAGAGAAGAGATAAGCTGGGTCAGGGGCAGAGCTCCAGGAAGACAGACAGACACAGAGGTCCCAAAGAGTGCCCTCTGAGCATCCCTTTCTGGACTCCGCTCACCCAGCTAGGAGCCCGATGCCCTGGAGACCCGCCCCTGCGGGAGAGCAGGCAGTGACCCCAGAAGAGCAGCCTCCCTCCCAGCCATCACACGGGGCTGGCTTCTCGGGCTTTTCTGTGAACAGGAATCTCCCGTGGGTCTTTTTCACAGGCACATTCTGATTCCAGAGTCTCACCTGGGACCCAGGATGGTGCATTTCTAACAGGCTACCAGGACATGCTAATACCACTTGGTCCCTGGACCATACTTGAAGAGCCAATAGAATGGCACTTCTTTACCCACTCTCCCAGAGCCGCTTGGAGAGAAGGAGGACCCCCATTAGAGACCCGAGGAAGCCATAGGCCTGAAAGTGACCAGTCTGGGCAGGAACCTCTCTCCTGACTCCAGCGGTGCGCTGGCAAGTGTCTCACAATCGGCTCTGGGGGAAAGTGAGAAGGCAGAGAGTGGGAGGAATGCTGATTTGTAACAATTGCCCGTTTCCTTGGTGTGAATACACCCACTGTGGCAGATTTCATACTACAAGCATGAAGTCACTGAACGTGGAGTTGAGAAGAGAGGCCTACAGCCACTGGTTCTCCAGAGCCAGCAGGAGCTAACGCCCACACCAAGGTCACCTCAGCTGCAGGAATGAGGCCTGGTGCCAGGCAGGTGCTCCCTTGAGGGAATCAGAGAGAACTTCCTGCACCTGGGAGTTGGCCCCTCACTTACCCAACGCCTGCGTATGCCTCCAATCCAGACTTGGCCTTGGTTGAGTCCACTGGTCATGCACTTGGATTCGATAGTTGGTGCTGTAGCTGTGGATGGAGGCGAGGTGGCCTCTGTAGCACCTCCTGCAGGTTATCTGCAGAAGAAGAAGGGGTAGGGTACAGAATTCCAGTTTTTTCTCAGGTCCCCCGGTCTCCAGAAGAGAGCTCTGCATCCCGTGTCCAGCCATAAATCAGGGATCTCCTAGCTGCACCAATTCCATCTATTGCTTCTTCATCTGTCATCAGGATCTTCTTGGAGGAAATAGTAATAATAGAATAATCGTAGCTACCATTTATGGACACTGTACAATGACCTGGGGACTATTCGAAGGCTTTCCATGTATTATCTGATTCACGTCTCACCACTTCTCTCAGAGGTTGGTGCTATACATGTCCATTGTACACGTGAAGTCAAAATACTGTAGCTCTCAGCACCACCACCCTGCCCCCGCAGAGCTGATCCTCCATGAAGGGCCGTTTTTGCTAGTCAGTGGTCACAGCCAGTCCTTGCAGCTGACTGGCCTAGGAAATCCCTCCCATTGACCTGCCAACAGCACTCAAGACTCAACTGCAAGAGGAGGGTGTACTCAGCCCACACAAATGGTGCACTCTCAGAGTACCCAGCTTGGGTGAAAGGGGAGGCTGTGCCCTGGAACCCTACAGGACACCTACTACATTAGGCACACTACAAAGACATGGAGTCAACACAGCTCTACCTAACACATAGGAGCAAACAAAAGGAGACTGCCAAAACGAAGAGACAAAGAAATGGCTCACATGAAAGAACAGATCAGAACTCCAGAAAAAGAGCTAAACAAAATGGAGATAAGCAATCTCTCACATGCAGGGCTCAAAACACTGGTTATAAGGCTGCTCAAGGAACTTAGTGAGGACCTCATCAGCATAAAAAAGACCCAGTCAGAAATGAATGATGCACTAATTGAAATAAAGAACATTTTACAGGGAAATAACAGTGGACTGGATGAAGCCAAGTATCAAATCAATGACTTGGAAAAACAACCAATCAGAACAACAAGAAGGAAGAATACAAAAAAAAAATAAGGATAGCGTAAGCAGCCCCTGGAACAACTTCAAGAGCTCCAACAGTAACATCATAGGAGTGCCAGAAAGAAAAGAGGAAGAGCAAGAAATTGGAAATGTATTTGAAAAACAATGAAAGAGAATTTCCCTAACTTGATGAAGGAAATAGAGTTGACAGGCCAAGAAGCACCGAGAGTCCCAAACAAGGTGGATGCAAAATGGCCACTCCAAGGCACATCCTAATTCAAATGCCAAAGGTTCAAGATAAAGAGGGAATCTTAAAAGCAGCAACAGAAAAGAAGTTAGTTCCCTAACCAGGGGTCTCATAAGGCTGTCAGCTGATTTCTCAAAAGAAATTTTGCAGGCTAGAAGGGATTGGCAAGAAGTACTCAAAGTCATGAAAAGCAGGGACCAACAGCTTAAAGTGCTCTACCCAGCAAAGCTATCATTTGGATTCGAGGGGCAGAAACAGAGCTTCCCAGAACAGAAAAACACTAAAGGAGTTCATTGTCACCTAACCTTTATTATATGGAATGTTAAAATAACTGATTTAAGAGAAAGAAGATCAAAACTATGAACGATAAAAGGCAAAAGTATTTATCTATCAACAATTGAACCTAAAAAAGCAAACTAGGCAAACAAGAAGAATGCAGACGTTTCAAGGATATGGAGAGCATTTTGATGGTTCCCACATGGGAGGCTCTGGGGGGTGGGAGAGTTGAAGAGGTAAGGAGATGAAGAGGTACAAATAGGCAATTCCAGAATAGCCATGGGGAGGTAAAGGACAGTATCTGAAATGGAGTAGCCAAGGAACATATACTCAAGAGCCATGGACATGAGCAATAGTGGGGAGATTGCCTGAGGGAGTGGGGAGTGATGGGTGGAGGGAGCCAAAGGCAGAAATAATCAGGACAAGTGTAACAGCAGAAATATAATTAAAAAAAATACTGAAGCTCTGAAAAAATACTGAATGGTGACCTGACTTGCCCAGGTAACACAAGCAATGACAGGCAGTACCAAGGTTTAACACAGGTATACCTAAGAGCAAAACCTTCTGCCCAGATCACTGGTTCTCAAATGCTGTCTCCAGACCAAAAATATCATCATCGCCTTGGACTTTGTGATGAATACAAATTCCGGGTCCCATTGAGCAACCTTTCAACAAGGCCGCTAGGAAAGTCTGATGCAGTAGGCTTTCAGAAACACTAGATTGAATGACTAGAAAACAGAGGTTCAAATCCACTCTCTTCTCAACCCTTGGTCCTCCTTCCACAGGAGCCTCTCTGCCACTTACCCGAGCTCCCTGAAACTTCCGGGGACTCCGCACCAAGATGTAGCGGCAGGTCTTGCACCCAGGACTGCCCGTTATTTCAACTGTGTCCTCCTTCTGGGGGCACTGAAAGTTGTCGTCTAGGTCACTTGGGTCCAGCTCCGTGTCCTCCTTGTCCTCAAAGTCATCTTCATCGCTGGAAGGCTCCTCCTGCTCTCCTTCCGGCCGAATCTCCTCCTCAGGCAGGGCCAACGCTCCCTCCTGATCCCCTGAACCTTCCAGGTCCTGGCTCAGGTCTGCCTGTGCTTCTTGGCTCTCCAGGCGGGGAGCTTGATTCTCTGGGAAGAAGAGGGAACCTGCCGTCAGCGGGGTTCTCCCTGCTGCCAGCACCCTGGACAGCTCTGCACCGCCCCTCCTGGGCCTTCCTAGTGCTGCTGTCTGGAGCCCACACTGGAGGGGCTCCTTGGTGCTGGGGGAGGTGAGAACTCACACCAGCGGAGGAGAGCCTGACGCTGACTGACACAGTGTGTGATTTTCGGGTTGGGGGCTGGCGAAGAAGCACCTCTGAGAAGCCCTTCATCGTCACAGGTGAGTGGTTTTTACTCTGTGCAGGAGCCAGGCCAAATGTTACGGTCCCAGCTCTGAGTCCAGGAGAAACCTTCGCGGAGAAGAGCTGGGTCAGCTGGAGAAGGAAAGCCGTGGCCTGGCCCCGAGAGAGCCGCAAAGGTGCGGGAAGGAGGGGAGAGGATGGCTGTGGGTGAGAGGGAAGGGGAGCGCTTACCCAGGTGGAATGGAGCAACGGCCCCCAGCAGGAGAAGGAGCAGGAGCAGGGGGCGCTTCATATCCACTGCGTCTTGTGACAGGGACACAGTACCGCTTTCCCTCCTCAGGGATGTCCTGTGAGTCTGCACAGCCCCTGCCACTTAACAGAGATGCACTTGTTTGTTTATCCGTGGATTCAGGACAGACTAGCGAGCTTCCCTCTCCCGCAACAAACAGGCCCTACCCTGGAGGTTCAGGAAGAGGATGTGAGGGTGTCACTCAAGTACAAGTGTCCCTTCTCCTGAGAGCTCCATCAGTGTGCTGGGACAGCACCTAGCCCAGACCCTTGTCGCTGCAGGAGCAGGTCTGCTCTGGGTCAGAGCCGCCTTCCCTCACACTGGGGAAGGAGGGGAAGGACAGTGGCCATCTCGGTCCTAAGGACAGGCCATACTGGCTTCTGCTTTCTCCAAAGCTGTGGACCCCCTCCCTCCCTGGAAGACCAGGGGCCACTCACGTTGCCAGAAAAGTCTGAGCCTCCACTCTCGGTGCCTCTGGCTGCAGGGCACCCAAGGCAGCCCTTATACTGGGCTTTGGGGGAAGTGGGAAGACACCAGAGCGATTGCCCCAGGCTGGAATGCAAGGCAGTAGGGCTGATTACAAGACCTTTGCTCAATTCTCTCACGTGCTCTCTGCTGAGACTGCGGGACCTGCCTCCCAGGGCCTACTGACCCTTACGGGTGTCCGAACACCCAGGTGTGCTGGAGAAGACCCCAGATACCTGCTGCCCAGACATACTTACTACTGGCACCCTGAATGTGCCCCAGCCCTAACCCCGGGAACAGCCTGCCTCTGGTCAATATCCAGCCAAAAAGGGGAGGAAAGCAAGATGCTGGAGGGCCCTGAGGGAGGGAGGGAGGGAGGGAGAGAGGGAGGGAGGGAGAGAGGGAGACAGCGGATGAAGGGAGCTCACACCGCTGAGTGCCTGTGTACACCAGGGATTTTATATGCATCGCATCCCAGAATCACCTCCTTCCCCTGAGAATGCATGAGACCCTCACCTCAGAGCTGTGAAAAATGAGATTCCGAGAGAGAAAGCCATGTGCCAAGGTTGCACAGGAAGTGGAGGACCTGGGATTTCTAAGTCTTTTTTGGCTCAAAACCTTTCTGTCTGTCTGTCTGTCTGTCTGTCTGTCTCTCTCTCCCTGTCTCTTCTCCCAACCACCTTTCACCCTTTCACCCTACACTTTCCTTTCCTTATTACCTTTCTTTCTCTTTCTCACTCTTCTCCCTCTTTTTTCTTCCTTTTTTCCCAGTTCGGTACAGTGAACTTTATTGATGGTACAAGACAAGGCAGGGTTCCCTAAGCCCCTCCCCTCTTCAAGAGGGTCCAGGATGGAAACTGGAGGTCAGGAGATTCTCGGTGTGTTGGGGGATCGATTTGGGGCAAGGACTTCCCAGCAGCTGAGAGTCTCTCTTCCGGTCGCTGGGGTTGGTGGTCCAGGGGGCTCTTACTCCTCGGAGGCCATGTGGACCATAAGGTCCACCACCCTGTTGCTGTAACCAAATTCATTGTCATACCAGGAAATGAGCTTGACAAAGTGATCATTGAGGGCAATGCCAGCCCCGGCATCGAAGGTGGAGGAGTGGGTGTCACTGTTAAAGTCACAAGAGACAACCTGGTCCTCAGTGTAGCCCAGGATGCCCTTGAGGAGGCCCTCTGATGCCTGCTTCACTACCTTCTCGATGTCATCGTATTAGGCAGCTTTCTCTAGGTGGCGGGTCAGATCCACAACTGACACATTGGGGGTGGGGACACAAAAGGCCATGCCAGTGAGCTTCCCATTCAGCTCAGGGATGACCTTGCCCACAACCTTGGCAGCACCAGTAGAAGCAGGGATGGTGTCCTGGATGGCCCTTTGGCCGGCATGCCACAGCCTCCTAGAGGGGCCATCCACGGTCTTCTGGGTGGCAGTGATGGCAAGGACTGTGGTCATGGTCCCTCCACCACGCCAAAGTTGTCATGGATGACCTTGGCCAGGGAAGCCAAGCAGTTGGTGGTGCAGGAGACATTGCTGACAATCTTCGTGGAGTCGTCATACTTGTCATGGTTCACACCAATCACAAACCTTCACACCAATCACAAGCGGGCATTGGCAGAAGGGGCAGAGATGATGACCCTCTTGGCTCCACCGTTCAGGGGAGCCCCAGCCTTCTCCACGGTAGTGAAGACACCATGAGCTCCACAACACACTCAGCACCAGCATCAGCCATTTGATGTTGGCGGGATCTCGCTCCTGGAATATGGACGTGGACTTCCCACCGATGACAAGCTTCCCATTCTCGGCCTTGACTGTGACTTTGAACTTGTTGTGAGTAGAATCACACTGGAACATGTAGACCATGCGGTTGAGGTCAATGAAGGGATCATTGATGGCGACAAGGTCCACTTTGCCAGAGTAAAAAGCAGCCCTGGCAACCAGGTGCCCAATACACCAAACCCGTTCACTCCGACCTTCACCGTGTCTCAGGGTGGCGGCTGTCCCCGCTCAGGAAGACACGGCTGCCTGTCGAACTGGAGGAGCAGAGAGCCTCCCTCCTTTTTCATCTATAATGTGTGAAAACTTATGCTCTGTCTTCCAGGCCGTGGTTCTAGATCAAGCTTCCCGACCTTTGCACTGTGACTATTAGAGCCAATAAGTCTTTGGTGTGGGAGGCTGTCCTGAGCACTGTAGAAAAGTTGGCAGCATCCACGGTCTTTATCCAATACATGTCAGAAGCATCTCTACTCAGTCAATCCTATTGTTCCCCAAAGACAATCAACAGCAGCTCCACATGTTTCCACAGGCCCGTTGGAGAGCAGAGTCACCCCAGTTATGGACCACTGATCTAGAATGTGCCTTTTTGTTCTATATCAAGGCAAACCTCTGGGCCAAGAGGCGACAGTTGGACTGGAAAGCTGTGAGCAGAATCGATCAGACACCCCGCGGGCCCCTTGTACCCCTCATGCCCACTGCCCGTCTCCCACCAGCCCTCTGTCCCCACCAGGGCAGGACTGAGTGGGGGAGAGTGAGGCACTCGTCTCAGGTGCGAACTTCACGGGGGCACGACAAAATTCAGTAGTCAAGGTAAATACTTCACTGCAATCTTTCTTAAAAATCAAAATAAATGCAAGAAACCTGTGATGAACAACATATCAAAACTTCAATCATCCAGGCTCCAGCCAAGGTGACTGTGTTCCAAAGCGACGCTTGCAACTGGAGAGCCCTGACTTTTCTGGACATCATTGGCTTGCAGGAGCTCGTGGCCTTGTCAGGGTGGGTGACACGACTCTGTGACATTCTCACTGGGCAGAGCATATGTCTACCTCAGACCCCAGCCCAGCCTCCCAGGGCTCAGGGCAGGAGGGACAGGTAGCCGAGAGGAAGAAAAGGCTTGGACTCCTTCCTTCCCTCTGCTCCCCGAGGGCTCCCACAAACAGAGAAGTATCGGAGGGGCCACTGTGGGGCCTCATTGCAGAGCAACTAACGGTCCTGGCTGTTATCTCTCTGGCCCAACGGACCAGACCCTCAGCTTATCAACCTGACATGGGGTGGTAGGAGGGTGGGTGATTGACCAATTCCGGGGCCCAAAATTAGTCACAGGTTTCAAGCCTGAGACCACGCTACTGGGTGAGAGAGGAAAGGCTCGGTGTCCTCCCCATCATTTACCTCCTTCCTGGGGCCCAGACCAGGGGCACCCATTACTCGTGGCTGCGATGAGCAACAGGGTCAGCTTCTCCCAACAGCAAGCCCCGTGATAAGGTTGACATGCACTGTTTCATTTGGACAGCCCTGTGTTAAGGGTGAGAAAATGGGCATCTCAGAGAGCATAACCAAGTTGCCCAGATCACACAGCAAGCGAGAGACAGGCTGAAATGCAGGTCCTCCAGCTCCTCATCCCCACCCACACGGCTGCCTTTCCTCTGCCTCCTCTCACTCACCTCTCCCTTCTCTACAACCTACCCCCTCCCCCGTCCTCTTTGCACTCAAACCACAGGCAAAGATATTTCAATCCACACTGACACCTGAGTCAAAACTGGAAGTAATATTTTTGAGATTCTACTACAGAACAAACACTATGTTCCATTAAGGCTTTGACATCCATGAACCTTCTTAATCTTTATAATCATATTGGAACTGGCTTCTGCCATCTCCAGACTATGTATCTACTACAGAGGACCAGAGAGGTTAAAACTTGCCCAAGTTCATACAATTAGGAAGGAGTGGCCTGTCTGACCCTAGTCTGACTCCTCTGACTTCCTTCTTTGATTTGTCCAAACACCCTCCACTACCCCAGGCAGCCTATCCAAGGATGCCGATGTTTTCAGCATCCTGGAATTTCTGTTTGGCTTATTTTTTGCATTTTGTTCATACTAGTTTCAAACTCTGCCTCTTGCCTCAAAGTTCAGCCCAGTCCCCCATTCTGCAGAGAGTGGGTCTCACTCACTGTCTTCGGAGGCAGCACGGTGTGATACAAATGAATGCCCGGTCCCAGGGCCAACCCCTCCACGTCACAGCAAGCTTACCTATGAACTGAGGCTAAGGACAGAACCTACCTCTAAGGAGATCGGCTCCAGGGACGTTCTCAGGACAGTGCCTGGCACACAGGCTGGGGGTGGCCTTGCCAGGAAACCAGGACTGGAGCTGTGACCCTTCTCCACAAACGGGCACTGGGGGTGGCGGCCACTCCTGCTCTGTGCTCACACAGCCTGCAGAGCCCCAGGGATTCCGCTGTGAGAATGGAGCTCAGTTTCACAAAGCTTATTTACCGTGTTGATGGAGAGGGGGAAAGCCTGTATTTTGGGATGTAAGGCCAGTCCCCTTATTTCATTACTTTTACATTTTAAACACAGTTCCTGTGGACGTGTAACACGCATGTGGTATGGCTGATGGGCCGCTCAGGGAATTTGACAGAATGAACGCGCCCACGTAACCGTGCCCGGATGAGGATAAGATATTACCTGCTGACTCCCCCTCACGTCCCCTTCCTTGTCGTCGATGCCCCAGAGGGGCTTCTTCTGGATTGGAAGTCACACTTCTGT